CTACGTTTATTGGTCGAACAAGTACTTAAAAGCTTTATGATTGGCTAGTAGAGACCTATGACGTCATTAATCGCTCTCGGAGCGATTAACCCAGGGTCAGTCGAACACATTATAAGAATCGGGCATCTCTAATCTGAACACATCCTTAGTAGTAGAATACACCCGGGTAGGGAATCTGAACGCAACCCTGCATGGGTTTTGCGCCCTGAAACAGAACGCGGCCATTATGAAAACGCGCGTACCGGCGTGTTTGTTTGTGCTAAGTAACCTCTCTGTACGTGAAATTTTCAGTTTCTAATCGCTAATTAAAGGACTTTTATTAAATATCGATAGTGTATTGTGACAAGTAAAAAATGGAGCTATTAAACGATACCAAGGATAGTTTCGATCAATCATTTCGGTTGTTAAGCCAACAAAATATTCATCAAAAATCGTTACTGAGGTTAAATAATGATATTAGTATCAGAGAAATGATGGAAGACAGCACAGCGACTGGAATAATTTTGAAAGCGAATGAACCGTGGCGAGAAGCCAAGACTAAGCTTTACTATGATTTCTTACAAAGCATGCAGTCGCATTTTTCTGAAGCACAAGTCTTCGATACTGTTGCTGATTTTATACAGAACTGTACAGATACGTTGGATATAATAAGAGGTATAATTTTATATAGTACCTTATTGTAATATTATTATTGTAAACAATATATCAATAATAATGATGTATTAATGATCCTTATGCTGAACTTGCTTTCATAGATAAAAGTACCTCTAAATGTCACTTCTATACTTTCTGATTGGCTTATAAGCATATTTACAGATACTTTTATTGATAAAAGAAAATTCAGAATGAGGATTAATGTATCAAATTTCATTAAAACCAAGAATAAATAATAACTAATTAATTAGTTAAAAGTTAAGTAAAACAGTTAATAACTTTAATTTAGTTCATTTTAAATAAATCAAAGTTTAACTTAAAGTAGTAATTTTTTCAAATGTATTAACTTTGACTTATTAACTTGTTTTATATAAATTAACATAATTCTTCAATATTCAAATCAGGACTAGCTACGCGTTTACAATATAAAACAAGAAAAATCCATAATTTTATATGCAAATGTTTTGTTTCTTTGAACACCATGTTCTTTTCTCATATCTTAAGCTCAAAATAACTTATATTTTGTTATAAAAGACTATCTTTTTATTATTTCACATAAATTAAACCTATGATTAAAAAGTTAATTATTCAGAAAAACATTACTTTGCATAATTAACTTAACTTTAATAAATTAATTCAATTTTAACTTAACTTTTGGTTTTTATTTATGTGATTTTTAACATAACTAAGTTATATTTATAAATCAATTATAAAACAATTATAAAACTATTATAAAAAAATAGTTTTGAACTTAGTTAAGAACTATATTACTTATCCAATCTTGAGTTAAAATATTGTTCCTTGTAGGTATGCAATCAAAAGTTGAAAACACTGAAATAGCAGAAGAGGAAACCTCCTTGGAAAGTGAGAGAAACACCTGGAGATTGATATATTGCCTTTACCAGAATCGTATAACCAGTGCTGGTCTATCTACTCAAATGGAACATGATGCACATATAAACAGTAATTACATCTCTGAAAAAGATGTTATAGAAAATTTATACAAATCTGAAAGTTACATTAGGGAGTACCAGTTGATTATTGACTGGTTAGAGAAGAATGCTCTGGATCAAGCAGATAGATATCCTTCTATAGAGCTTTTTACTGATAAGACAATAGCCTGGGAAAACACAGTTCATCAGTTGCAAAATCGAAATTTAGGAATTACATTTGGCTCATCTAGACCTATAGTGTCATCCCTTGACCCTGATGGACCTATACGGGAAGGTAAGCCATTGCATGATCTGGACAGAGAAGATGATGCCAGACTCGAAAAGAGAATGTTTATAGAGGTATGTTTATTTGCAACTTATACATATTTTGATAAATATATTCAGAAATGGTTATATTTGACTGAATCTTTTTAGTTTGAGATATATCATAAGAAAGATGGTTCAAAATATAATGCCCAAAAAAAAACCAACAAAATTACACTGTAACTTTGACGACATGATTTAGTCAACATATATTATCAAGGTCATAGTTTTGAGTAACAAAAATTTTCTATCCATTGTTCAATGAAAATTTATTAACAAAAGAATTTAAAAAAATCTTATTGTTAATGTTCACCTTAAAATACATAATTTGCTGATGTATATGTAGAAATAGTATATGTATTGATGGAGGAAAAAGAGTTCCTACTTGTTATTCCCAACTCTAAAAGAATCTAACTTAATCCAATAATCTATTATATTTCTTTTGTAAAAATATTGTAAATAAACAGTCATAGCGATTTTTAGTTTTCACTATCACTCTCAATATTTAAAATAAATAAAATACTTTTAAACACCATCTTTATTTTGAGAAAGAGATAAGAACTCGCAAACGAAGATATCAATCAAAAAATAGGAAAAAGGGCAATTTGAGTTGAAGTACAGAGTTGAAGTACAAGACCGAAATAATATTAAGTAGTTAATTAATATTGAGAAGTAGCCGTCATAACTTTGTTGAGTTCAGCTGAAAGTAAACCGATCCTGTCAACGATCAGACGTGGCGATGTTATCGTTGATAGGATCGGTTTACTTTCAGCTGAACTCAACAAAGTTATGACGGCTACTTCTCAATATTAATTAACTACTTAATATTATTTCGGCAACGGTCTTGTCAGCTTTAATATTGCGATTAACATTCATGTTAAGTTACGCAGGTCTTTAACTAATTGTAATGCGTTCGTGTCGTAAACCTTGAGTTTTTTATTATCACTGAAGAGGGTTTATGGTTGAGCCGAAACGTATAATTGTTTTATATTGATTATTCATTGATTGTTCAATAAATATTACACGATTTCCTAACACAAGGAAGGTTTTTTACCCATATGGTATATAGCACTGTGCTTCAACTCGAATTGCCCTTTTTCCTATTTTTTGATTGATATCTTTATTTTGCGTCGCCAAAGTTATCATAATATCTCCAAAGAACCAAGTAGAAGATAGTATTAATTGTTGAGATGTAATTAAGTAAAATTACAAATTTTGAAACTTTTATTTTGTTATATCTCGACTATCTCAATGTTATTTCCCACTTTTTTTTTCTAGATATCAATCATCTTTTCTACAATATATCTTAAATTTAGTGAGAGATATGATTTTTTCAGAATATTTACCAAAATCTTTCAACAAAATGATCTATCTTGTGACATTTTGAAAAAAAATGTATGTCATAGGTACGTTGTGGGCGTCTTCAAAAAGCACAAGCATTAGCCATGCACTGTGGTCAACCTTGGAGAGCTGCGTGTTTATTAGGATGGATTCCCAATCACGATCCAAATTATAATATCCCACTGACAGACACAAAATTGCCAATCGAAGGAAATCCTGACAGAAGTCTTTGGAAATTATGTGCCTGGAAGATGTCTCAAGATAAACGCGTAGGTAAAGACATCTTTGATGAATATTGATCATCAGCTGATATTATTTCAAAATTCTCTGAAGAAAATTCCATAATTTGTTATTAAATTTCTTATGACATGTATTACAAGTAGAATAATTAACATTGTACTTATTTGTGTAGATGTGCATCTAGAGAAATATAATAATAATAATAATATAATATTTTTTTATTGAAACAGGTGTGTTCTACCGTGCCATATACGCGAGTCTATGTGGCAATATTCAACTACTATTACAGATAGCATCATCTTGGCAAGATGCATTGTGGGCATACGTGAAGAGTCTCCTGGACATCAAAGTCGAGTCGGAAATAAGAGCGACTATGGCGAGGATTTACACAGTTATGCCAGAAGAATACTGGAAAAACGAAATCGCTTTGGAAGACGCGTTTAAAGAGCTGCATGCTTCGAAAAATCCTCTGATACGTGTGCAGTCTAACAAACCTGATCATTTGATCCAGAAATACATAATACTGGACCAAACGTCGAAGTTAATGGGGGAAATTGAAAGTATGGTAGACAGTGGTCTCTGCGACTCGCAATTTCTCAGATTCTTGGCGCATTTGATATTGTTTTTCAGACAAATTGGAAGAAGTACGAAGGACAAGATCGAAAATAAAGTATTACTAGCGTACGTGCGTGTTCTCATCGAGATGGGCGACTCGACTTTAATTGCATTCTATACAGCCACATTGCCGCAAGAAGATCAGATAACCAACTATGCTTCTTATTTGGAGCGTGTCAAAGAACATGAAGAGCGTAAGAAGTGTCTACGTGCCGCAGAGGACGCCAACTTGAATGTGGAAGCGATCACGAAATTGGTGGTAGAAAATATACGTAAGAAGAACTTGGAATCTGATCCAACAGACCTGAAAGGAACCGTCACCGATGCGGACATTGAGAAGATCAACGCGCTAGACTGGCTAATCTTCTATCAAAATCAGCGAGAAGAAGCTCTGTGGCAAACAAATGCGCTTATTAGATACTTCCTGACTAACGAGAAGATCGATGCGGCACGGAAAGCGTTTAATAAGGTATTAATTGAAGAATCCATTATTATAGCTATCACAATAGTTGTGTTTAATAGAAAGAGCAGCTGAACAAGCGGTTTGCATTGCGTTGTTAATTTTTCACTGAGCGACATTTAGACCCGTATTTGTAGTCGTTATTAAAAACATGGTCCACGTGAAATACTCCAATCTGAATTTAAAATTAGATTTGAGTTCTTTATTTAAATCATGATATGCGACATTACATTTATAATCGCAATTTAACTGGAAAACTTTCATCTGAGTCTAGATTAAAATCTGGATATCTCACTTAAAGCACATTTTAGGTAATGACTATTAATACAAGTTTTAGGCCTGTATTAGGAGGATTAAAGGATCAGATTGCCTGAAAATCGTGCTTGTTCTTTCACAATTTTTTATGACAAATTGAATGAATATACGAAAGTGTTTGACGTATATTTATACAATATAAAGAGAAGAAAAATATAATTTTGATGATCAAATACTCAATATAAGTGTATGGTACATGCAGTTAAAATATATTTTGTTTTTCTTTTCAAGGTCATTTTGCAGTAATATCTTGACTCTTGATGGTTTAATTAAGCTGAATTTTAGGTAGAAAATTTTCGTAAGCTTATCGTTATCGTGTGAACCACTATAATAGAAATTGAGTAAAAGTTAATAAAATTGCAAATATCTTAATGGAATATTATTAAATTTTCAGTTCTTTTATAGTAAAAAAATTAATATTTAAAAATTAAATATTTTCACGATTTTGTCAGTGGTTTGCACGATAACAACAAGCTTACGGAAATTTTCTATCTAATATTCAGCTTAATTGAGCCACCAAAAGTCAAGATATTATTGCAAAATGACGACATTTAAAAGAAAAACAAAATATATTTTAACTGCGTGTACCATACACTTATATTGAGTATTTGATCATCAAAATTATATTTTTCTTCTCTTTATATGTTGTATAAATACACGTCAAAATAACACTTTCGCATATTCATTCAGTTTATCATAAAAAATTGTGAAAAAACAAGCACGATTTTCAGGCAATCTGATCCTCCAGTCCCCTTAATAGTCTAATTATTACTTAAAGCTCATCTCAAGTGAGATATTCAGATTTAAATTCAGAGTTAGATCAAATTTCTTCAGTTGAATCTCGATAAATAAAGGAAAAAACGTCAAATATATCATAAATTAACTAAAAGATTTGAATCAAACTCTGAATAAAAATCTGAGTATCTCATATGAGACAAGTTTCAAGTGACAAATATTAATGTGAGTCTTAGTAGAGTTTATGCTTTTACAATATTTAGTAAGTGTAATCCAGTGTATTAAAAGTATGCTGGAAAAAATAACGACTGTTTAGTAAACATGTTGGAAAAGTGTAAACCATTAGTGTTGTTCAGCAAAAGATCTTACAACAATTCCAAAGCTGCTGGCAATGCAGGATAAAATGTTTTTTTTTCTGCTGAACGCAGTCAACAATTCATTTCTTTTCATAATCCGATAGGTCCTTGACAAGTCGCTTTTTTTGTTAATATATAATTCAATGGTATCTATATTTTGCAGATTCCATCAGATTCAATCGAGTCAGTTGTGGCCGAATATCCGAGTATGGAATGCACGCTCACAAATATTACTATGACGAATAATTTATCCAGAAAAGCGGCCTCGTCCATACGAGAATATCTGTGTTACAAAACGTACCTCGATGCTCAGGAGGGTTTCAGTGAATGGTTCTCGCATTATCATCATGGCAAACCCGCGCCTTTGGAAGAATTACCGGCATATGCCACGTTTACGGAAAAAGTTGCATACGATCACAGAAAGACGCAGTACAACGTGGAATTGGAAAGATGGAAGTGTACGATGCAACATCATACCAAAGTATGCGAGAAGTGTTGCACAGAGTTACAATGATTACGTTTACACGGCAGCCTAAAAACGGATTTAATAATATCTGTACAGAGTGGCTAGCTCACATGACTATAATGAAATCAATTTGTCTATTGCCGACGTTGGAACTATTAGTGTATTATATGTTGCATAGTATATTTAACAAATTGCTTATACATGTAAGTTAAAACTAATTAATAATTCCCGGATACTTAATTCTTATTGTTTTTACTTTAAATATGAGTATTGAAACTTTCAACATAGAATATATATATTTTACATATGCATATATATTTTTATTTTTTAAAACTTTAAATACTCGCATTTTAAGATTAAAACAATAAACGATAAGAATGTTCAGAATTGGGAACGTGTCGGGGATTGGTATTTTTTACCTTAACATCGACAATTATTAAATCAGTTTTATGCTGTTCACTTAAATGTAATCATGGTATTGCTACTATGGATGTTACTAAATCATTAAAATTGCCATTTTAACGTAGTCAGTGAAATAAACAAGAATATAAAGCTTTGTCTTGTTACAGGCTGTGAAACAATTGTTATTTAACGTTCTGTTGTTCCCCGACGGTGGTTGGCTTATCGATTCCAAGAGCAGCAGCGACGAGCCGTGCACGCCCGAGGACGAGCTCAGGGATCATCAGTTGGAAAAGCTGCGCGAGCTTTGTATACCTAAAGTCACGCTTTTGCTACACTCCGTTATGTCCGAGATGAACGAGCATGCAAATTGCATTCAGCTCGCCGACATACTCGCGTCCGAGCAATATCAATTGTACAAAGTATGTGTTGATAACACGCTGATTCTTATAACGTATTTAAATATGAATATTTTTTTGCATAGATGTATATTGTGCATATAATGAAGCAATAACTATTACTATTTGAATATCTTCAAAACAAAAAACAAAAGTAACTTCCAGATCTGTGAAGCTATTCCACTTAGAAAATAACGTCTATTGTCCTAATATTCTTTTTTTTCTAGATAGATAGAGGAGCGGTTTTGAAGATCGCATTTATTTTTTGCTTCGAAGATATTGTGCTAATAGTTATTGCCTCATCTTTTGTACAACGGCATGTATATATTAACTTACCGATTAACTTTGTATACAGGTATTTTCCAAGGGCAGACTACGCGAGGTATTCAAGAAGATCTGCGAATCCTCTCTCATCTTGATGGACCAAAAGAAAGATCCCTGGGGATATCCGAAATAAAACTTGAAGTTTTACGTATTGCTTTGTAAATTCGCGTGTACCGCGTGTATAATTGATATGAGCGCTCAGACGTTTACCGTCGCTTCTGATTGTCACTACAAACGTGTACAGGTAGTCTATATCTTTCTTCTCTCTCGCTCGTCTTCTTTTTTATAAAACCAGTTTATTGTCAACCACAAGAAGTGAATATAAAATTTGATATAATGTTCAATAATTCATAATCATAATATATCATATACTTCGTGATTACGTAGATGCTCCTTTTACCCAATCGTTAATAAATGTAGCGCTATCAAAGCCATTAAGATTAACGTGTGGGGGGTGTGTGACGAAACTCATAACCGATAAAAGAGCAGAACATCCTGAGATACATTTCGCAGCGACACTTAGAAACTTCGAATGACAGTTATGACAGATACACCAGCTCTGATCTCGCATTCTCACCGTCTCATATCGATATCGGGTATACAAGGATTCGCGCACAACGACGAGAATCGACGAGTACCGAATTGCAAGAATATTATATCGCGAACAAAAGCGATACACTCCTCGTGTCCAGATCTAAACAAATCGTCGTATCAATACGTTACAGAGTCTCGTAATGATATGATTCTCATTGTATATTTTCTATTCTAATGTTTCAAAGTGGATAATGTTTCTTCTCGACGACAGCAGTCTTCTTTTCGCAAATTTTCCTCCCATCCTTTCGAAAATCATAGCATTTTTTCTTTTTTTTCTCTTTCTTTTTCTCTTGAAACTCCGACGCGTGCACCTTTCCTAATTAACACTATGACGTTTAACTTATTAGACACACGCATATGCTACGTATAGACTATATAAGAAAATTAACATTCGATCAAGAGAGAGAGAGTGCGACAACTCTCGAAACAATCGGAATTTTTTGCAACGCTCGCGTACTCTCTACGACCAGTCGTCATCGTCGTCGTCATCGTCGTCACCGTCGTCGGCCGTTAGATTCTTTTTTACCTTACGAGATATGTCGAATTTTTAAACGGTAAAGATTGACTTCTCATTGAGTGTTTTACATGTGGTTGCCCACGACGATGCGGTGTCGTGCGCGCGCTGATATCTTAACATCTCTTAGACGAACTTACATCTCGACGACGAGTAAAAGGGATATGCATCGTTTAGAACAACTCCCGCCAGAGATGCGAAAAGAAACATCGTGCGAATTTCATCCTGATACGCGAGTATCGCGAGATGGATTCGTTCTGCGATTGCTCGGTCACGACCGAGGACGCGAAAGATATGTTACACGTATCTTGACCGCGTTTTCTCCCCGAAGGATAACAAGATCTCAAGGAGCTTCGAGAACTCTACAATATATCAAACAACAATGAGACCCGAGGAAGGAAGTCTACGGAAGTGAAAAGAAAAGGAGAACAGGAAAGGAGAACACTCAAGCGTCTCCCAAGAGGCTTCTTCCTTCCCGAAACACTTTTCAGCCGTTCGCGATTGCCTGCAAATTTACTTGGCGAGTTACAGTAATTATAAACGGACAGATTGGATCGAATCCTTGTTCTTTGCTCGCGAGTGATCGCGACGGGAATTATTGCCTCCCGTCTCCGTCAGCATCGCGCGTGCCGTCGCCGGCGCGGAATCCTCACGACGAAAAGGGAGGACGTGCGTCGCGCTCAACGCCGGCTGCACGGTGCTGAATTTAAACTCGTATATAGCTTGACACGCCTCGAAGAACGCTCGATCGCGCTCTTTGCGAGATAAATTCGTTCGCGCGCGCGCATCCACTCGAAGTTAGGAAGATACGAGTGCCGTGTCCCTCGATTTAGATAAAGTCTGCGATAACGATTAGACGATTAGTGGAGTTAATTGTTAGTTAAGCTAGCCTAACACGTAAACGTTGAAGAGAAACAAAGGGGTTGACAATTCGTACGTTCTGCGGAATACAATTCGACACGCGCGGTCGGCGTAAAGAGAGAGACGATCGAATTTTGTTCGCCTACTAATCCGTTTACACTCTCTACGAGACGTCCTACTCGCTAGCAGGGATGCGCATATTTTTTTCTCCTTTTCTTCGTGTGCGGAACGATATGCCTAAGAGAGAGAGAGAGAGAGAGAGAAAGAGCGCTTCAAGATGAGCGTTCTTCGACTTTTCTCGGACTTCTCTCAATGATAAAACGTGAATCATCGACTCTCTCGTTTCTTCTGCGAGGTTCGGCTGCAGCAACATCGGTCTGCGTTGTTAAACTTTAAGTATACCCAGATAGACAGAGATGCTAAATATAGCATACATACAGAGAGAACGATTTGTTGAATCAAATAAACATTTCTTTGGAATAGTCCAAACAAATTATTTGGTTGACACAACAAAAATATTTCTTTGGAACTAAGCCGCAAATAAATATTTTTGTTGCGTCAAACAGAATTTTGTTCGATTAATAGAAAAATTCGTTTGGACTGCTTCCAAAGAAGCATTTACGTCATGAAAATTGTAGCAATATCGCAGTGATATTCTGATGCCATGAAAATTGCTTATTTCACTAAGAAAAAAGCGAATTTAACCCGGAATTGTCGTAATAGTTAAAAGAGAGTAAACGTTTTGATTAAAAATAAACGTAATGTACGAAATGATATTTCATAAAACTTATTTTAAATATGTTTTATGCTATTGCATCACAAAATATATGTGATTACACATTGAGTGTGTACACAGAGAGAACGATTTGGTTGAATCAAATCGTTCATATTTGATTCAACCAAATCGTTCTCTCTGTGTACACACTCAATGTGTAATCACATATATTTTGTGATGCAATAGCACACAACATATTTAAAATAAGTTTTATGAAATATCATTTCGTACATTACGTTTATTTTTAATCAAAACGTTTACTCTCTTTTAACTATTACGACAATTCCGGGTTAAATTCGCTTTTTTCTTAGTGAAATAAGCAATTTTCATGGCATCAGAATATCACTGCGATATTGCTACAATTTTCATGACGTAAAGTGACTTCTTTTATGTACTGAGAAAATTCTTCTTATGTGAGAACGCATATTTGCATATTTGTACTGGTCACTAAGTACACAATTGCCAAAATATGTTTCAACAAACATGATGACGTCAAAAGACGTATCAATGACGTATTATTGACGCTCGAGACGTCATTTGACATTATCATGTTTGCTGGGGTCTATCTGGACAGTTTAGACAGAGGAAAAGAAGTAAGTAATTGACTCTAATGTTGTTGCAATCAAACCCAATATTCACGCTCTGCACACCGCGAAAGGAATATCTCGTAGGACACAACAATTGAAAAGATGTATATCGCAGAAATGTAATATAATTCGACTTCGTTTTCCTGTGTATACAGGGTGTCTGACAATTTACGCCTACTATTTGCATAATCCTAGTTTTTATGAAAATTGGGCATTGTTTTTCTTAGCAAAAACACCAAGGCATTGATAATTACCGGAAGAAAGTGGAGATTTTCGCGAATTAAGCTTGGGGCAACCAAATGGATAACAAAGTGATTCTCTTTCAATTTCACGTGGATTTTATTTTAACCGAATTTTAATCTGAGGCTTAGCTTCAAAGATATGTTGAAAATTGTATAATATAAATAATGATTTCCCTCGACGTTTTTACTGAGGAAAAATTGTCAAAAATTTTTGTGAGGAATAGCGCTGTATAAATAATAGGCGCGAATTTCCGGACACCTTGTATATAAGGGATTGATGTAAAAGGTTTATCATTTTTCTATTGAACTCTTGTGGGATGTATTTGAGTATTAAAAATGAAATAAGAAGTCCTCTTTAAAAAATATATGTAAATGTTGTCGATGTAACAAATAACAATCGATATGTTCATTTTGCTCGTATTAATCCATTAATAATCCATTTATTAATTGACTCATTAATAATGGTAATAATAAATAGAAAATTTTTATAATTAACATATTTATAATAGAAATATTCTTATAAAAATAGAAAATTCTTCAAAATTATTCAACTGAAATTATTCAATAATTGAATAATTCAATTTATTTTAAAAAATTGATTTTTTTCAATTTCAAAATTCAATTTATTGAATAATTTCGAAGGATTTTCTATTTTAATATAAGAATCGTATTCTTATTATATATTTTCTTTAATTGTAAGAATTTCCTATTTTACTTAACAAACACGACAAACCTTTTGCACCAAGCAAAAATACATATTGACAACACCTCGTTCTTTCCTTAAAAATACGAACTCTAAAATAAACATTTTATTCCCTTACAAGAGCTATCCGAATCGCTTCGTCGAGTGATCGCGCAGATCGTTCATATTCAAGCCCATGACCCTCTCTACAGTGTATTATCTGAAATATTGTATCTGCGCGTGTACGAAGTTGTTCGGTTCTCGAGACTTATCGAGTAACATGTGCGAAAAAGAGAAGAAACGCAAGCAGACACGAAAGTCCTGCAACGCCGCGTCTCGCGTGCGTCCGACGCTAAGATCACGCGTACGGCAATGTAAACGCGAAGTGATAGCCGCTTGTTCCAACTTGGTTGGTTCGCCACGCGACTTCGACGTTCACGTGAGAGAACAGTACACGGAGGTCGCTCATCACGGAGTTGCAAGAGCTTCCCGATCAGTCCAAGTATCGACGCGTTCACAACTAGGCTCGATGTATCGTTACAAAGTAAAAATCGTGATATACTTTCAGTTTGGATCGAGCCGTCGTTCAAAAATCTTTTCACGTACAGTGAGTAGAGACTTCGAAAAACGTATGAAATCTAATGTGTCGTACAATTAGAACTAAACGCGCGCTAAAGACGTCTTACCAAAGATCTTTGTAAAATCTATCGTTAGTGTGTACGTGTATATGTGTGCGTGTGCCTGTGTGTGATCACGCAGCTGCTCTCCCTTCCCTCGTCATGCAACCCAGCGTTTATGGGGGAAAAAAACGCGCAAACGCTCGCTCGATCAGCACAATTATAACGCGAGACAGAGACGTTCCACTCTATCCCGCCGCACGCCGCACTTTTTGAATTTGTCGCTCCACGCGCCCTTACGTATAATATAATTGTGTATGGATGGAAGCTTATAAGTAGATCGTTTTTTTTTTTTTTAGTATATGTTAATTCAAAGGTAGGATCTAGAGTTGTAAACATTACGCGCTAAATATATCGCTAACAATTCGAAATCACGTTTGAAACTGTACAACATTGACGACGGTGGCCGCTCACTCGCGGTGCCGGACGACACCGTTAATACGTTGAATTTAGTTTCACCGGAGGTGCGCCTCCGTGAAATAAGTTTCTCGCCAATCCTTCATCCCGCTTGTTTCTTTTTTTTTCCCTTTTTTTCTTTACGCATTAATGTACATATAGCCGAAAAGTTGTTCTTAGAACCTAAGCTATTATTTGTCTCTTATGAACTAACAACTTGGGACGTCATCGGGCTGCTCCTGGAAAGGCGGATATGCGATTCAGCCCCGACCGGCTGAAGAAGTCACGTAAGTTAAACTGTGAGTATACAAGTGAAACTCTAGTCAGCTCTCATAAATACATCGAAAGGATCAGTTGATGAAAATATATACAGGGTGAGGCAATCATCATTTCTACTTCGAATGTCCTCGAAATATGAGAGTGAGAGAACAATTTGTCTAACAAAGAAATCACATGGTACAGAAATGATCGTTTTATGGCGGTAACGTTTTTCTTTCTAGATGAAATAAAAAATAGAAATAGAAATTTCAGTTTAATGATCTGAAGAAATCACCTTTGTTTTTTATCTCGAAAATACTCACGATATTCGTTATTGCTTCACTCTGTATACACGAGTCTCCTTTTACTCCGCGTAATTTTGCAAAATCAACTTCGGACAAAATGACAATCGGGAGAGACACGTACACAAGAAAATCCCAAAGAGGATATTTATCTTTCATCCACTTGTGATGATTTGAGCTAACGCCGGAATTTATTTCGGCTTACAACTTCGTTAATCGCTGAAATTATAATGAAATTTTACTCGCATCACACTACGAGTGATATATTTATCTATATGTTATTGTCTATATATATATATATGTATATATATATATATATATATATATTGTCTGTACATATATATCATGCGTATGGAACATTTCACCTACGCAACTTACGAGTTATGCTTTATTGCGGAATTATACATGGTTTTATCTGTTTCATACATTTATATACGCAAAGGATCGATCCGTACACCACACGTGACACGTTATGTGAGGATCGGTGAGTTCTGATTACAATGACTTGAAAAGAAGATGAAGAAAAACGAACAACATTAACCAACCCTTTCACGGAGCAGCCCGCTTTTATTGTAGATCCTGCAAGTTGATAATTTATTATTGTCATTCACAGAAGTAGGACCTTTATCCGCTTACAAACTAGAATCTGTTACTTTCGAACGATCCTCTTAGAAAAAACGAACGAATGAAAAATATAGCGATAGCCTACGGTCTCGAGCAAAGATCTCGCTTATTGATCGGGATTGCTCTCTCGAGTATTGTCATATCGAAATTTAGCGACACAAACATCGATTAAATGTCCTTATTTGTCACTTATTTATTACACGGTAATTAGTGCGAGTCTCTACGTTAACGTCCCTTAACGTGTTAACTCTCTTTGCCGTTCGTAAAGCTAGATAAGTAAGTTTATTTTTTTCGTTTCAGAGATTTCTATGTTGTATATGTATGATAAAATTTGTGTGGATGTATCTGTGTGTGTATTTGTGTGTGTAATGCTCATGTAATTAAATACAGACTGGTCTTCGTGCGATAAGCGATTGAATAGCAAAGAATTTTCTGCTGCGAATTTTGTGGACACCCTGGCACTTGGGAGCTGGACACACATTTTGCGACTTAACATTAGAGAGACGTATTACGCTAAGCCCTCTCTATCCTAAATTGATTATGTTTTCCGCTGATTTCTCTTGGTTGCACGTCTTGCATCCCTTGCACGTTTTATGCACGCAACGATATACCTATGAGTATTAGTCACAGGCTGCCTTTCGATACTTTCTTTTTAATAATGGCACGCGCTTCCTTCTCCTTCTAATTAATGTTATTGTAACAGTCCCGACGTAAGTGCAACGCGATTAAAACGGCACCTGACATTTAACGGAAATGGCGCGCATAAAAATGGCTTCTCGTGTGCGATTTCTTAGAGAACAGCCTGTAGCTTCACTCATGTGATACGCTTGACGCACAAGAGACCAGTTCCAAAGTACTACGCGGTGTCCCTTGTCCGAGAGTGGGTCCTAATCCTTGTATAATTAAAGACATTTATTATTTGTACCCAAGGCACATTTCAAACTTTCACTCCGTTTTAGGAAGGTCCACTCTATAGTATATACATATAGCATTGTTACACGTACAGGGAATAGTTTGTATCTTGCATCTCCCTCTTAAATATTACTTTTACTTTACTTTCTTGTACATAACTCGCATTTCGTTAGCAATCTCTCTCTTTAGCTCTCTTTCTTTCTTACTTTCTCCTTCCCTCCCTCTCTCTTTCTTTCTTTTGTTAACTATTCTACATATTATTGTCAAGTCGACAGCATTTATAAATGTATATCTTACGTACTATCGTGTCGATTTAAAGTTACATTAAGATCAACTATAGCTTTGTGCAAAATTTACATTGTACACGCATCGCTGATGCATCTTCGTTCTCTCGCATCAAATTTACGCGTATAGTTGTATGTTGATCATTCGGATATACGTTATCCTTCCCCCTGATAAAGAATACTTTATTGTCAGAATTTCATTGGTTGCTCAGTTCTGATCAGTTATTATTGTCTGACATTTTCTGCATTATTATTGTCAAGTCTGCATTATTATTGTCTCCAGCTTCATTTTATAATCGTTAAAGAATATTGAAATTTCATATCCCTGTGTACATGTTCAAACGTGTAAACGTGTATCCGTGTCTGTATATATATATATATATATATATATATATATAT